AAAATAATCCCTAGATCAAACTGTGCATACTTGGTCAAATATAATACAATATTTGGAGTTCTGTTATGTACCCATGCTTTTACTCAAGCAACAACACAAGACATGTTGAAGCAAGTGCTTTTGGATTGATAACAGAGGCCTGGTAACTAGACTCTTGGGACTGCTGGTTCATACTTGTCCCCAAAACAGTGACCCCTACTGTTTTCCGCCTGGCTGATTGACATCTGACCAAACTCCACCCATCTTGCCAAAGCTTCCTAAAGCATTGTCCATCAGTACTGACTTCCAAAGAAGGTGAAATTCTTGAATCTGATATTCCATTAACTTCAAATTCATTCTGGGGCTCATGCCCCAGTGTGTAGATTTGCTTTTTTACCCCTCTAACCCCAGTAAGAAACATGAAAATCAATTCTTTAAGGGAATTTTGCTCTTTCCAGTAATTACTTCACTTTCTTTAAAATGCTACAAAATAAATTAGGCACAAATCATCGTCATTTTTTTTAGTGATGCAGGAGCTAAACCCTTTGATTTAACTCTTTTTCTTGCATGCAATTTTCTCTTCTCCTAACATTGTCTAGACTATCTGTGAAAATGCCTATGGTTAATCTTTAATTTACTGGAGAAACAAGGTTACCCAAATCCTTCTGTGTTTTTTGTTTCTTTTTTCCAAATCCTCATGTTTTAAGAAAGTATTTTCCTTGATGTTGCTCATAGTAACAACAACAATACTATGCACTTATTGAAGGCTTATGTGTGTCCGGCAGTATGTAAGCATTTTACGTATATTATCTAATCTAAGGCTTGAAAGTAAACCTCAGGAGAGTTGTGTTTCTCTCATGTTACAGGTGAAGGAAGCATGTCCAAGAGTTGCACTCTGGCCATGAGAGCGGAATCTGCCTGGTGTCTCTTCTCTGGAGCCTGCAGCCTTCACCACTATGGTAATGCCATCTCTAGACTGGCTAATTTATTTCCCCATATCCAGCTTGGGTGACCCTGAAGATGGAGAAAAGGCAGACAGCTCCCCCTCCTCTTTTAATTCCTCACACGTCTGGCCTGCTCAAGAGGTGCTTCCTACAATGTGTCAATGATTCTAGTTTGTGTGCACAACTCACCTGCTTCATATTTTTATTTCTCTCCAAGACTGCTGGGAATAATCTGATGCATATGAAGGGAAAAATGAGGCGTTACTAATAAGAGTAAATTAAACTTGAGCACATTTCTACCAGTGTGTGAAGCACAGTACTAAGCAGTGTTTGTGATGAGCAGACACGAGCCACGATCTCATGTAATTTAAAATCTTGTGTGAGAAGGGATGGCAAATAAAGCTACACAGAAGTATATGTGAGTCCATGACAAATATACTAAGTTCCATATGAAAAGAAGAAATGGAGCACATTGGGCTGAAAAGCAGGCACTCTGCCATTTCCCTGGAGAACCAGGATTGAGACTGCGTGGTATAAGAGAAATGGACGTGGAGAGCAGAGAGCCTCAAGGTTCACTCCAGGCTGTCGCCAACACTCAACACTTTGGTGTTTCCTGCTCCACAGCCTACATACTTTATAGGGCACAGTTCAAAGTGAGAATGCAGGGCTCCTTATTCTAAGGAATAAGGTGATTCTAAGAATGGGAGAGCAGAGCATTAAACCAAGTACAGGACCCTTCCCAAAACAGACAATTTTACCTGGGCCTCTGCTTCCTCAGGGATTGCCTTTGGAGAGTAGGGAATCAGGCCTCCCTCTCTACCACAGCCCCAGCAGCTAGCACTATGCCTGCTACCTAGGTGAATTAGCAAGTGACTGGAGATACGAATTAATCAGTACTTGATGATTTCTGGGGTAGCCTTTTGCATTAAAATGTTATTAGACCACGATATTTGAGATGAATATCAAAGGATAGTAGATTTTTTCTTCTTTCTGTTTTTTCTCTTCTTTTCCTTTCCATCCTTCCAGTATTTTCCCATTTCTCTCACAAACTCTCATAGCCATGTTATGCTTTCTATTGAGAAATGCAACAGTGTCACAGTCTGGAACCAGCAGAGGCATATCTTGAAGACTTTGTCCTCACTTGAGATTTCTTGAGATAATTTCCCACTTCCAGACTGTATCCCCCTGAATAGAGTCTGGTTTTTCATTTTTAAAATATTTTGTTTTATTTTCATTGAACAATATGATAGATGTTTGAGAAGAAAGAAAGTCATGAAAACAAAGATGAGATTATATGAAATCAGTTTTCACTCTACTTTTACATTCTATAATATATTATGAGCATCTTCTTCAGTGTCAATAGCCAGGCACAGTGTGTGTGGTATTCTGTCAAATGGTTGCACTGTTATTTTAACTGATTCATTCAAATCATACATCTGGATGATGATGATGATGATGATGATGATGATGATGATAATTATTATTTTTACTATTCTAAATGGTGTTGCTCTGAATTTACTGCATAGGCAATTGATTTAGTTTCTCAGTGCTTTTTGTTCCACCTCTGTGGATGATCTCACAATAATAATAGTACTTCTGGCCTGGGGTTGTAGTGTAGTATGAGCTAATCTATATACATAAGGCTCTTAGCCCCAATACAGCACAGTGCATAGCAGACTAGATATGTGAAATAAACATTTACCATTTTGTTACTTTCCAGCCCAGAAAGAGTTGTTTGTCCAGACTGGGATGCAATTAATACTAGAGCTTGAGAATTGTTCTTAGCAAAGCAGTGGGATAGGCATAGGCTAAGGGCTTCCTAGGCTTTGTAATGGCTTCTTGTCTCCTGGGTTACAGAGTAAGCTCCCAGGCAGCTAGGAGGCTTCTTCTTTCTTTTAAATACAGCTGAGCAGGTGTTCCCTGACATCTAAGAACCTTCACCTGTGGGTTTCCCATAAGTCTGTGCACTCATCAAGACCCATCCTTAGCCCACCACACACAGTCTGTCAGCTGGGCACATGCTCTGGCTGAAGATTCCTGCCAAGGGCAGCTGAAGAGAAGTAGTTGTGCTCAGACTGAGAGGTGATTGTCCCACCTTGAGAGATGTCCTAGGAATGTGGAAAACTGGGTGTGGACGAAGCAAGTTCCAGACTAGCCACTTGCTGGCTCTGTGACCTTTGACAGGCATTTTCTTCTATTCCGTAACCTCCCTGTTTCTTTTGTAATTCTGAGGGGAATTGGAAGAGGCCATGAGTAGGTAGTAAGCAGTGATTAGCTCTGATTAACAGTGCCCTTCCTTCCACTTGCACATTGCCCTGTTTTATTCTACTCAGTCTACTTTTCACACTGCAGATGGTCTTTTCGGTCCCCCCCTCACTAAAATGGAAGCTTCTTAAGGGCAGGGGCCTTGAAAGCAACCCCAAGGCAGATGCCCACTGTGCAAAGTGTGTAAGTGTAGCAGGACTCTGAGCCTGAGTTCGTAGCTTGGTTACACTGCTTGCTGTGCAAACTCCAGGAAAGAGTATAAGTATCAAGTGTGAAATTATGTAGAATGCACTATGTACCCTGCTTGGTACAGAGTGTAATAACGATAGCAGCAAACACAAATGTAGCACGATAGCCAAGCACTAATCTCAACACTACAAATGTTAACTTTATTGATCTTCACTACATCCTACAAAATCGGTACTATTGTACCATCCTACAGGCGGGCAAACTGAGGCATAGAGGTTAATCAAGACCCGTCAGCTGATATTTTGTGTCTAAGGTTCCTTCCAAGCGTGCCCTAGGCGACCTCTAAGATAGACCAGAACTGAAGCCTGATCCGCGCGAGGCCGTTCCTGGCCCGAAAGAGTTACTCGAAATGAGCGCGCGTTATCAAGGGAGATCCGCTGGCCCGCACCCGGCTCCCAAGATAGTGGGCGGGGCATCGGAAGCTTTCTCTCCTCCGATTGGTTCACACTCTCCTTCCTGTCATGGCCGGCCCCGCCCCGCCCCCTGGGCGCTGCCAGAGTGGAGGGTTCCAGAGGTATGCTAATGAGGGGCCGGGCGCCGCAGCCCATTGGCCGGCCGCGGAGTGTCGGTGAAGTCAGCGCCGAGTCCCAGAAAAACAGAGTGGGGCCAACTGCGGCGTGT